GAGGCAAGGGATCAGCAGCAGCAGAGATCAAAGGGAGAAACTGTTATCATCTTGATAATGTCTACTGTGGGATAGGGGAGGTAGCAGTTGATGGCTAAACACAACAATGATACCATCAGCTCCAAACCACAATGGTACAGAAGTCAATCCCTCCAAGCTGCTTTTATCTTGTCAGGCTCAGATGACACCTGCTTTTCTATATCACTTCATAATACAGATCTGTAGAGAAAACAACAAGTGATTGATATATACAATCACAGGAAAGCAATACATTTGATCTTAATCTTTTGCACTATAGCCTACTTCAAACAAACTGTAACGTTAGATACTTCAGATACTATTTCTGCATTCTAGATTATGATCAAAGCATCAGGTAGAACACTGAGAGAGAAGTGTATACACATATACTAATCCATTATTTGTATCCTCTCAAAGCTCCCGTAGGCTCTTCCTTGGAATCAATCCATCTATCCCAGGACCACATGCATGTGTATGCATTAAATTACACTGAATTTTGTTTCTAGGTTTCTCTGAAACAAGTTCCTGTGTAATCTGTGAAATTAACCATGATGGGGGGTCTGTTCTTGATATTACATAAAAAGTTAGTTTTACCACAGAACTAATTGTCATGATGAGTCATACTGAAGAAATGTTAACATCATTCTCAACTCAAAATGAACACACACTCACACTCACATGACTCACAAATGAGGGAAAGGCTTTATCAACAAATGTATGACACAAAGTTGTGCTTCTGGTGCACACAACATGGGTGGGATCTGGCCATGGCATCCACGGAGACATAAATCAAGCTCGCTCAAGTTCAAGTGTGATTTTCCACCATTCTAGACAAATTCTATTAATACCCTTAACTGTCTGAAATAAAGATGCATCTTACATTTAGACACATGACTCATACCTGTGGGATAAACAGATTAAAACACTGTATAGAGTATGCATATAGAGAATTTTAAAAGTCCAGGTAACAGCATATGGGTATTCTCTCCAGCCTGGCACAGCAAAGGACTAATGCAAACAAGAAATTCCGCCTCCCAACCACCAATTTACACTGGGGCTTCAGGAATGAACACATCCAGGTTTCATCTGCCACACTTCTGCCCACCCAGACCACCTGTGAGGGGACCAAGCTTCTACAGACTGTATACACCACCAGGAACACTTGACGAATGTGATCGCCAACAATATTGATAGTGTCAAGGACTTGACCACATGGTCTGGACACTGCAGCCTTTCAGTGTCACAGCAGCCATGGAAGAAGAGCTCTGACGTTAAAGGTAGACACTGAATTTACCACAGATAGGAAGTAGTCAATCCTGAGGAAAAACAAGCCTGTAGGGCTGATCAGTACTCACAAATCTGGCTGTCGAGGGGTGCCAAGGTTTTGTAGGTACAAATTCCTCTCATAGCACAACAAGACTTTCCAACTTGTCTGGCTTATTTGTACAGGATTACATCAGTAGAAGCATGTCCAACTTCCTCCAAATATTTGTGTCCGGGCAGTGGAACAGGCTACAGCAGCAGCTGACTTGTCAAGTATCCTCGCCAGGTCTGCTGCCAAAGACTTAAACCTCTGATACAAAACAGTTGATAGAGTGTGATCATGATAATAATATCACATCTTAAAGTATTACAACTCATCCTGTAAAACAATCTATGAGACAGATTGAGAAGCGCATGTTATTTACTTCTACTAACTCTCCTAAAAGTAATCAGCAAAGTTATTTGATGTGTGCACAGGAGATCTTGTCTCAAAGTCAGGCATGACAATGTCTAATCTTATGTTCTGACTTCACCATTTCATAATGAGAAATAAAGAGATTGCGGGTCATGTAGCTATGGCCAGTTATCAGAACCACACTAAAATGATTGTGTTCCTGACAATTCTAGCATGATAAATATTAACCTCAACAAAATAAACAGTGTTCTCCTCGTCAGGTCAGCAAAAACTGTCAGTTACATTTGATGGTCTGTCTTAGTTAAGCTATCTGTTAGAGATAGCTGACTAGTTGCTTCCTGGAGAGTCTGTTTCTGGGGTACGACATAAATTATGTAGGGACTTGGTTCAATCTACAAATGTATTTGAAACTGCCCAGAGAACAGGAGCATAAAATAACTTTCTGAACATTGTGCAGAAATAATCATCCATCACACAGATTTACAAGATTTAAACCACAAAGAAATCTTTCTGTCCAGGACAAAACCTCTACAATCTGAGCAGATCAGGAGCTTTGATACCTGTCCACAATTTAGTAGAATGGTTTATTTCTATTCACTGAAAAAGTACAGCCCAGTTGCAGCCCGAAGGCCGAATTGTCAGGCTTGTTTACAAACAAAGTCATATCATCATACTACCTCAAATACATACTAAAATGTAAACGGTCAACTTATTTATCACATATACATACATTATTATAGTCAGCGATATCATAGATAAAATTTGAGAACACGTTAAACTCACTCTACAAATTGACAGGCAAATGGCTAAAATCGACAATAACATTGTAGGACATTAAAAATTATTCTAAAATTGACAGGCAAAATGGCTAAAAATCGACACAAGAATTTGTAACGAAGAGTGGAGCAATAATGTTAATCAAGGACTATGAATTGTTTATCAAATATAAATATAAAATATACATGTGTTACTCTAGGACTGTCTTGGGCTGTTCGGCGTTTAACAGGTCCACTAAGAACGGCAATGTGCTCTTCCTATATCGTTCCGTCCTACATTTAAACTGTGTTATCTGGTGTTTGGATCTGAGGTTTCTGCCATGAAGGCTCACACGTTTTGGGGGAAGCCAGTTAGAGAAGGTCGTTGAGTTTGATAAGGAAGTAGCAAACTTCGTACATAGTTCCTGGCGTCTGTTGTACAGAGATACAAGTGACAACTGGTTTAATGCCATACTGTAACTAACAAAGTTTGATCCTAGGATAATCCGACAAGCTGCTGGTCACTGAGAGGAGCGACCAAGAAATCCAGGGGTCATGATCAGTTGGTGGCTGCTTAAGCTCTGATGAGCTGGCTTGATTGGACTTTCCTTCCCATTCTGGTACCATTGCCAGGTTTTGTTGCCTTTCTTGACCACACTTAGTCCTACAGTTAGTCAGCAATATCTTCATCACAACATTCCATGGGGACAGATACCCATCCTCAAATGTGAAATAATATGTGTACAAATAAATATTGATTCATTGTTTACCTTTTTCTTTATGATTGAAATGTGTTCACTTTCTTCTTGAGATTTTGGTTAAGGCTAGCAATAGCTTTCGCATTACTCGGTAACTCGTTACTTTTCTTTGACACAAAGACCTTTTATCTGTACAACCACCATCCTGCCTGTGCCCTAATCTCAGCAAGTTTAACTTGGTTTTATGTTTGAAAAGACCAACATGTTTGTAGAACCTCATACTGCGATGCATAATAGAATTCAACACCTTACATGGCTTATCCCCTTCGATCCTAAACTTAAAAGCTCAACACTTGTCCAAGTAACTTTTCAACCTGTACTCTCCAGTTTAACCTTCGATCCTTTAGGTTAGTCTTGTCTTTGTCTGGTAATTCTTCTATTTGTCGGAGCGTTACCTGTCCTTAATCCAGGTGTATGATCTCACTTCTGAAGTATGGAGGGAACAGGGGCCTGGGTTGGTCTGTGTTTACCTGCAAACCTGAGTACACAGGTCGTTACCCCTAGCTAATCAGTCAGCTGAGCTAAACTCCTGATGAAGTTGACTAGATATGAAATCTAGTTGTTGCTATATCTTTTTACAAATTGTGCTGATTAATACCAAACCTAATATATGCTTCAGTCTCTGTTAGCAACTCTATCTGAATATAATTTCGATTGATTAGCAGTTGAAGGACTTCATTGAAGCTTTGGAGGTTAAATACTTTTGACATTTGCTCATAAGATTACATGTACATGTATGTCTGAAATTGGTTATTTCAGTCACAGTTGAAGATTCTTCAGATCAAAATTGTTTGGGATTAAATCTAACAATTCTGCACAAAAATATAGAATAAAATGCGATGATTGATCTGTTATAATTAATATAAAAGACAAACTCCTGTATGTCCTGAACTTCACAGCCTACAGAAAGCCATAGTTTATACAGTTTACTACAACTGCATCTGTCACACATGGTTCCTTCCCTCTGCACATATTGACATAGATTATGTGGTAGTCTGTGTCCTCATGTCCAAAAATACCTGTGTCTCTCTACTTCTAACTTTCCCTCTGGAACTTTCTACCGCCATCAAAGCCGGCTGTGCAGAAATTTGCCTTGGCTGTGGACCAGATGGCAAGTGCTGTGGGGGAGCCAACCTAGACAACCAAGCATTAACTTAAGAAAGCAGCACTACATGTGTATGTACTTCAAACATTGTAAATCATAGTTTTACATTGTAGCATGGTTGTTGAAAAAAGTAAACTCTATAGGTTTTCAATCTTGTACCTACAAGTGAAGGTCAATTTCTCCTTCAAACAGGCCTAGGGGACAAGACTTGGCCACAGGGTCTAGGACTCTGGTCTGGAGGGCTTAAATGAGCTGTTAGCTGGAAGTAAGACTATTATTATATGTGACCTCCAAAATACTGTAATTCTTGAAATGTTTGTGGTGGTTTTACTTTCACAGTGACCTTTCCATTACGAAATCATGCATTATCTTACTACTGTACTACACACTTGCTTCAACCTGAATCAACCGTGAACTTAAAACCAGTGCAAAAAACTCCTTTCCCTTCCTACGGTGTATTTAAATCTGCACCAAGATATATGCATATACAGTACATCACAGCAGCCATACAAATCTTGTTTTCTACAATGCAAAGGACATGTGGTACATGTTTCACATGGATCATTTACATTTCCCGTAACAACCTTATACTACATGTATATGTATAGTACTGCTACATAACATGGCATTACAACATTGCAAGATAAGATAGTGATAACATCTGTGTCATCAATGAGTTCACTGACCTTTATCTTGCTCAGGTCATTGGCTGCAAGTTTTTGCAATGCAGGCTGGGAAAATTTAACTCCAGATGGGCTGAAAAACACAAGGAACTCTGGGACTCCCTGCAAGCAACAAAATTTTTTTTTACCATCAGCACTATATAAGTTTCAAGATAATCAATGCATTGTAGGAAAAGATAACAGAGGAAACCAAAAAAAACATTTAGAATGCTTATAAAAATAGTCAATGCAAACCATTGGTACCTGCTCATTTATATAAGCCTGCAGCCTCTTCTCAATGTCAGGATGTGCAATAGTCTGATATACTCTCAGCTCTGTCAGTGGGATGTCTGCAGAAGAAAATTGTATGTAGATAAAAAAAGTTTCATTTACTTGCAAAACAATTTTTGAATTCCACATACTACAATGAACAGAAGAAAATTAAGTTGCAATTCCTAAAATGTTGATTGAAAGCTACACTTCTACATTCCTCTATGTTATCACACAACATTATTGTGTGATAACAAAATCCATCAAAGAAGTTGGATACAATTGTCAGGGCTCATCAATAGATAATGTATAATAATTGATTTAATAGAAGTATAATACATCCACATATTGTATGGTACTGTTAATTCATACTTGCAGCAGAAAGAGCCATAGGCAAAGTCTCTCTCCTCATAAACCCACAGGGAAACAGCAGAGCTTTGCCATTTGTTGGGAACTCTACAGGTGGAAAAAAAATTGATATCAATAAAAAAAATTGATATCAATGAAACATACATGTACATGGCAGCACTGCATACTATTCAACACTGACATTGAAGGGAAACATGCTAGTTTGAGTGTGTTTTTATCTGAAAAGAACAAAATTCCTGATTTAATAACAAAATACACATTGATATACATTTTGTACAATTGTATATATATGATTGATTTTACATGTATCTTTTACAAGATGCAATGTATTTCCACCTACTCACTTCCACAATTTAGCAGAATATAGCATTAGTAAATACCGACCTTTCTGAACTGCTTTACAAACATTTGACCTCAAATAACCTGCACACATCTCCTACCAGATCCCATATATGAGTGCAGTGTAACGTTAAATCCTGATGAAGAACAGTAACCTTACTTTGAGTGATGAGGTCAGCCAGTTGAGTGGCCGTCCCGCATTCTTCTCCGCTTGGAGTAAGGCCGAGGCTTCTGGCTGTGAAGACAGATACGGGGAATCTGGGTGACAGTACCACAACACAACAGTGCCAAGAAATGTCTTATTTTTCTTCAACAGTTCCACAAAACATCTTACTTTCCTTCAAATCAATATAACTGGCATTTTTACTTCTTTCTTGTTATATTCAAAAGGCTGTGGGGATGTAGAATTTTATTTCAAAATATGATGAAATTCCTTGAATTACAGAAAGACATAGAACTCTCCTTTAAAAAGTACTATTTATCTCAGTTTAATACGGTTTCAATACAACTGAAGGAGGGCATGTTCCACGCACTCATTTACTCACCATTTTTGCATTAAGAATATAATCTTTGTTAGAATCAAAATCACTAAACTAATGAAATGAATAAGCAAATTCCTCACGTGTGATAATACATATCAAGAATTATTATTTTGCTTTGAAATATACTATTGCTTCATTCAGAGCAAGTGGTCTTTTGGTACACATATAAGTCTGTCATCACTACAAGCAGATTTACTGTTACAGTATTTATTCAAACAACAGAATTACATTTGCACATGTTTAAAGAATAACAAGTTAGGGAAACACCACCACACATTTACCTACTCAATAATAATAGAAACACTGGCTTCCTGAGTATCCAAGTTATGTTGATATTGATGATGTGTTGTTATTGGAGCAAGTACAGTAAATCGTCTATGATCAAAGGGGGAACTAAGCGGGCCTGACGGATATATTGGACCGGTGGTGATGCATATCTGGAGGCGAGGAAATTTCCCTGACACTTCATTACTTGGTTGTGTTATTAGCTGATGGCTTCAAACCTGTTCTTTCCTGTTGAGGTAGGTGAAACCTGCTCCCGTTCCGTCCCTCCAGCACTGCCGCGTGCTGACAGGGAACATGTGGACGGCGTATGGTTCATAACCGAAATAACTGCACCCGTAATGGGAATGGCATTTGTCCACCGCCAGACTCCCGTGTGCCCACTTTGTTACCGGCATATCACCCTGTCAGCTCATTAAACTGCTGTTATGATTAATCAAAGATAACAAACTTCACAACACGGCTGACCTCGCTGCACTTGTTTTTTACCAAACGCTGATATCTGCGCCGGGAGAGCGCTGCAGAAAAATGCCAATCAATCAGGTCTCGAGCTTGACCATGGGGATGGCTGCTCTCCCAACGGAGGCGGGGAAATATCCATATTTCTGACTGGTCGCTGGTGGTCCGTTTGTCAGCAGCAATGCTGCACTAATAGCTATTTGCCCATTAACACCTTACAGTGACAGGACCCAAACAGGTTGACAAGGGCCCTGGAATACCACTGCTCTGAACCTGGAGTCCTGCCAGTCATCACGGAATCATGAGGACATGTGTTCAACAATAATGTTGATAACATTCTGACCCCTCCAGCCGTAATAAGGTGCTGATTGGAGGTGTCAACACACGCCGGGGGTTCAGTTTCATGTGCACGTTGCAGACGCCATTTCATACGCTGTGGCCGACATTCAAGAGCGGAAACGCACTTGTCAGGAGAAGACCGGGGCATAAATGTACATAACCCACCGGCTACATACCACTGGGATACGTACCACACAGCAAGGTCAACATTTTTTTTTTCACAGCGTTCTCTTTTGTACCGCGTTCACACTTTACAGAGAGCACGTGGACATAACTCGTATGTTGTAATCAACATTCCGCCACCTCCATCGGAAGTCATGAGTTTTAGCCAAGGATGAAATATTTCATTAAGTCAAGACTATTGCAGGTGTCAGGAAGCCCTGTGCAACTCTCCTGTCAAAGATGTTGAATCAATCAACCTGGGAAGGTATGGTAAGCCTTGGTAAGGAGTTATAGGGTATGCTAAGCCTGATATATTATGACCATCATTCCAAATCAGCTGCACCTGTTGGCTGTAATGATTGATGGGCAATTTCCTCATTTCTTTCCATTGGCAAAGACGCAGTACTTTTGAAGTTAGTAGTTGGTCTCAATTTCCTCAAAAGGCGCAGACGTACAGATGACTTCATCACTATCCATGGGCCCTCTAGACTTCTTAAAATTTATTGGCCTGACATATACATGTATATACCTGCCGACAACTTCTACAAGTTGATGTAACAGATGAATAAATACACTCCTTCTCGACAGTATTCCTTAGACTTACACTGACCAGACTTCTCACAGTTTAAACTGTGCATGGATGATGATACATGGTACCAAATTCTAGGTGATCAACTTACCACATATTGCAATTGAGAAAGACGACATTTTACTACCGGCAATTGCAAGGATATAATTTCATCCTGTTTTCTTTCATCCAAAAATGCCAAAGGCCAAGTTCTTAGAATTTCCTTGCTTGTTGATGGGAGATGCATGAGACTGGCATATCCATGTAAAAACCCAGGTTTGAAGTGACTTGGAGTAACACTTGAGCCTTCGCCAACACTGGTGAGACTGGAAAACATCCTGTGGGTTCTCCAGAAGATGGAGGCACTTCAGCTATTTGTGCTGAAACTCCAGAAGGAACAGTTGCCTTGCCATGATAAAAGACATTCCGCCAAGGTCAGCTGGGGCCAACAAAGAGACCCAGGGTCAAGTTGGCAGCGCAGCTGCACTTCTTTCCAGCAGTCAAACAAACCGGCACCAGTAGAGAGGGGATCTGGTACCAGGTAAACTGGTTCAGCTAATACCAAAGCAAGGTGAACAACTTTAAACAGTTGATTGTGTAAATCAAGTATAACTGCTTTCGTGACATTTTTATTTATTTATTTATCTATTTATTTTAATTTAAATTTGTGCCAATAACTCAATAATTTGTTTGTAAACTTTCCAAATCAAAATGTTTGACTGTACATGTGCTGTGTGGCCCCAAATTTTTATAGCATTATTTACACTGCAGTCTTACGATGCTAAAGGTTAGAGGAAAATTTTTACAACTAATATCATTTTGTTCAGCATTTTGTCTAGCACCCCCTTTCCACTAAAGGCTGCAACCACTAAGCAGATGAGCAACCAAATATTTGAGAGATTAATGAGTGAATGAACAATTTTATATATTTTGTGTGTTTTGTTGTCTTTTAATGCAATTAATTGTATAAAATCATGGTCCACACGAATCTAATTCTGGTTGCTCATCAGCCACTAAGCGATTGCCGTCCAGTGAAAAGGAGGCCTTACCTGCCGCTGCTGTTGCAGTGCCTACTACAAATGTAGTCTTGCTCATCCAGTCTCCTGGCAGGCTTTGATCCTCTATTGAACCAAAAGCAAAAACATTATGACAAAACATGTCAAAATTGTTAAAAGATTAAGATTACACATTAAAGTGTTGACACATCAATTATGAATGGTACTCCATATCTTCTAATTGTGGTAAAGCCACTTGATGCTCTTATAGAGAATCTGAAGTTCCAAGTGCTGGACAGGTTTGGTTTTCTGCTAGAAATGCACAGATAAATCATGTACCATTAATTGATATAATATTTGAGAATGAATGCAGCCTATAGGTTAGGTAATTTCTGCTGAGTCATAATCTTTTTACAGAGTGTACAACTTCCAGTTCTTCCAGAGTGTAAAACTTGTTCTCCCTAACTTTTCACTGACAAAGAATGAGTTAGGCAACATGTTCAGGGGCCGGTCCATGTAAAATTGGTGATGGTGATTCAAATTTGCCTAACTGTATGATACCTCTGATGACCATTATTCAGTGATGCAAAAATCAATCTCCTGTGTCCTCCCTTGTTGCCTAACAATGCAACATAAGTGCAAGGAGAAGTCTGAAATCAAAATCTTTCTGACAGATGAAATAGTTGTTCCAGTTATAGCTAGCATGCATTCTCATACTTTCAGAAGATTTCACAGGGCTGACCATCCAATTGCTCATTTCACATCCCCCGGGAAGACTGCTGGATGCTTACACCCTTGAATTCCAACACCCCGATGTTTGGACAACTCAACATACATGTACATGTTCTGACAACATGAACCCTAACCTCAATCCTATCTCAGAACTTAATGGCATTGGAGTGTCAGAGGCTCAGAGTATAGGGCTGTTCCCCTTCTGGAGACCATTCCCCTTAGGCAGTGAAGGGTTAATAATTTAGCACTAACCGTCCTGCAGACATCTCCTGACAGCTTCTACAGACCTCTGACTGGTGAAGACCATCCCTGAGAATTCCTCAGGCTTCTTGAGAAGACTCCTCAGCTCAGGAAGGTTACAAAACTCGAAACTCAAGACTTCTATAGATTTTACCTGCAGACCAGCTGCTGAAAATTCCTGGGGATAAATGCATCAGTGTAAGAAATCCATGATGGGTACAACTACGACAAATGTAAAGTTAAGTTATGGTGTAAGTATGGTACTTTGAATTCCTTAATTTGCAATTCTATACGTGCAAAAAAGAATATAAGAAGCAGAAAATGAAATTTCCAGCATCTTACAATTGTTATCTCCACTCCAAAGTTGCCTGCACTTCACCAATGGCCATCCCAGTGCCAGGGCCAATAAGGACAGAGGATCATTTTAAAATGTATTCAGGTCATGATACTACAAAGTCACCTGTTCATAAGGGTCAGATCCCTTTCCTTCCCGGGGTTCTCGCAGCAGAAGGATCACCATTCTCACTCCTATTGCACATGTGTCGGGAACATTATACTTGGCAAACACAGAACTGGAGAAAAAGGAAAATTAAGTGGTTAACTGGGTAGGGTTAAAGATGATGATGATAATGAGTTTATGATGGATGAGCATCATAATTGTAGAAGATAACGGGTTGCACAATACTGGGACCATCACAGGTAACGTTATATAATCCAAATCTGGCTTTTGAATAACAATCCATGCAGAAATGAGAGTCATCAGTCATGACTTACCATCAATGTGCAATATTTTAAGTACACAGGATCCCAATAAAAAGACAACAACAAGATGAGGGGAGTCATCAGACAGACTTATCAATTATCAATGTGATTAGTCATAGTGTGGAGTTTTAGAATGGATGACAGACATTCAAAGATGAGGATGCTGTATAGAACTGTGAGCCTTGAAAACAAACTTCAACTGAACAGTGTGTGAATGTTTTACTATATTAGATCATGGCATTGTGATGAGAACGTCACATGAAATACTCACTGAAACCAAGGAGGTTAAAAACCAATTGATTTTCAAACCTCCTTGCTCACATCACACCACACCACTGTTGACTGCAAACTTACTGACCTTTGGCACAATCCATTCATCGGTGGGTGGACCAGTGAATCCAAAATAATCCTTTAGAGGTACCAGACTGATCTGAGAAAGTGTTTTTATTAACTCCATATGTGCATAACAAACTTTTATTTCGATTTTTTCCATACCATGATGAAATGTTCGCGTTTCGATGTGACAATAATACTACGAACACCCCCGCTTTAGAGGAGTGGAAGTATCTGGTGACCTCTCAGTAGCATCATGGCGGCTGCACCGAAAAAACGTGCGTTTGCAGAAGACGTGAAAGGCCGTGGGGAAGACGGAGAAGGCCAGGAGGAGGACTCGGAGGATGAGATGTACTCAGGAAGCGAGGAGAGTGACGGCAGCGACATGGACGTGGCGCAGGAGGTACGGGCTCATGTGGGGAGGGAGACATATGGGTGAACAAGTCACCACATGTTCATAATTTTTCTAACGCGGAAAGGGGGGGGGGCTAAAAGTGCATGATGGAGATGTCTGTTTTTTTCGTCGTCTACGGAAAAACTGTCTCTTTTTCATTTCTTTCCTTTAAACAACGTGAACCTATTACTACCTCCCACTACTCCCAAATAAAAAATGTATTTCCAACGCAATAAATTGGACTCACAATATCTCAAGCCTCTGTACAACTCCAGTCAAGGAGTGAGCAGCCCACGACGTTAAGGTGTCTTCTGAAGAAGCCTTTTAAGGGGGATGACGGAATTCAAAGTTAAGCCGCATAAGAAGTATGCATAAGAAGACTAACCACAAATGTGCCTGACATAAAAATTAATTCCAGTAACCTAGTAGACTAACAATATGTTTCTTATTCAATCAATTGTAACGTTACCTATTTTACAGGTGCAGGTTGACTTTGAGGCCAGAGCTGCCTGTGACAGCGACTTCCATGGAATCAAGAGACTGCTAGGACAGGTACATGTATATGTTACATGTAGTTAGAACTCTCTGGACAATATTTGACACAAATGCGAACCTTAATTATGTTCTAGAGTTGTTGATATTTCTTGATCCTGCTGATTTAAGTTTTGTCCATGTGATCCTTGTGTGTTTCAGCTGTTCCTGAAGTCTCATGTGAACCTGTCAGAGCTTACTGACATCATTCTGTCCCAGAACTACATTGGCTGTGTCATCAAGGTATGTTCCTCTTGCATTACTCATGTGTGATAGTGAAAACCTCATGAGGTACAACAGGAATACATGTGCTCTTCTGTCCTTTAAACTTTCTATGTGTTTCATTTACTACATTTCCACATTTCCTTTGCCTCATCCAGCAAGGGGAGATACCAGAGGACAGTGACAGCGATGATGGGGAAGAAGAGATATTTGGGTTCATCACAGTAGTCAACATCACAGATAGGAAGGTGAAAATGTTAATTATCATGATTCATTACATGTACATCTTGTATAACATATCTGCAACAGTATATTGTATCTAAAAATGATATAAAGTATAATCCAAAAAGAAACTTAATATCACTTCATCATTTCTTCCTTAGGACAAGCCCTGCCTACAAGCCCTCAAAGACTTGGTTGTGGAGAGGTGTAAAGAGTGTGCTCCCAAGAATACCTATGAGGAATTGACCAACATTCTGGAAAATGACAGGCATCGTGTTGGTTTCCTGATGTGTGAAAGGTTTATAAACCTGCCCCCACAGCTGGCATTGCCCATGTATGAGAGTTTGAAGTAAGTGATGAAGTGCCACTTCTGATAAACTTGAATCCCTTTATATGATTGTGTTCTGTGGACATATACAATATTGCACTGTAATCAGTCAGTGTGCACCAGAATGTCATAAACAGCCTAAAATTCCATTGGAGGGAAAGTCTAGCAGAGGTTTTATGCAAATCATTTTAATGCAATTCAAATTAATGTAATCGTTCTTGTCACTGTATTATAAAAAAAGATTCATTGTAATGTATGAATTTGAAGCCTTGATACCTTTGCTTCTGAAATATTGTCAGTGTGGTAGATGTCAAGCTTGGTGGATTTGATTAAGCCTGGAAACTTTTAATGATTTTGATCATATCCAGTTCTCATATGCTGGACAAACTTTTTCAATAAACCTGAAGTGTGGCATTCACTTTTTTCTATTGACAGCAAAGACCTTCAGCAAGCCCAGATCATGGAGATGCAGTATGCCTTTGACTACATACTACTGATCAGTAAGACCTACACTGAGGTCAGAACAGAAGGAGGGAAGAAGGGGAAAAAGTCCTCCCAGCCTCAGGAGCAGAGAGAAGAGGTCCTCTTTAGTAATGCAGAGGAGGAGTTCTTTCACCAGGTGGGAAAATTACAGACAGTAGTTGGGACATGTTTGGACTTAAATGCAAGTCTGCAAAGGTATTTTCATTGCAAAATCATTTCTAGGTATGCTAAGTATGGATCCCAATAAACTCAACTCTATAGACAAAGAATTGTGCAGAATTTTTTTCATTAAGAGGCAGACTTGAGATGTACGATTTTGATAACACTATATGAATCAGGTGGATTTCTCTGATACATTCACTTGTATTTAGAATATGGGCTCATTGGTACTAAACATGTCTTCTCTGTTTTCAGGAGGCCCACACATCTTTCAGCTATCCTGTGATTGAGGAGAGTGACTCAGGCTTCAGCGGAAAGTGGAAATTCGGTGACTCTGCCACGAAACCTTTCCGGACAGTTATGCTTGTGCCCAATAGTAAGATGGTCGAAATCAAGAAGAAAATGGAGGAATATTTATCTGTGTAGCTTTAAATTGTCTGAACAAAATTGTTGCAGGTGCATAAGTGCTACCACTCACACAGTACTAGGTAGTTTTGAAATTTATTTGGAGGGAAAGGCAAGAAAACACGTTTCTTCAAATACATCTACTCCTTTTCATCAATGCAAGTAACATTTTTGTACCAGCTAACACACTGTAAACACAGACATCCACATTTATTTACTTGTACTGCATATTTCTACCTGTGCGAAAACATGTGAAAGACAAAGTTTTCCAGCTACTGGCAATGACTAGCAAATAGTACATGTGGCTCTAAGAAACATGAAACTGGTAATGTTTGCATTTCCCTGTTGCTATTTTGTAGATGAGCTTCACTGAAACTTTGTTAGAATATGTTCTATCACAGATGTACATGCATACATTACATACATTACATATATAAATACACTTGTATATAAATACATTTTGCCACAGGTTTATAGAGAATCTTGTGTAATATATTGCACATATATCATTCTTTTTGCCACATAAAATTAGAATTATTATTAGCAGCTGTTATGTCAGATGGACGGATACATGTAACTATACTTACTTGTACCTACTGTGCCTTGTTCAATTACCAATTACTATTATCTACTCTACAGATATGAAACAGTACAAAATATGAGAAGGCAGGAAAGTATTCCAGTTGTATGTCTGAAAGTATTAGAACTTGTAGAGTTAAGATGAAGTAGATGACAGCAATCTCTTTTTTCTCTTCTGGACAAGTCAGCCAATCCATATGAAAATAATTTTGGGGCCCACAAAATGATGGACCTTAAACAAAAAGTACAAACAAATGTAGCAAAGATTTAAGGCTAAATCAATTCTGATTGTGTGTTCATTACTGGTAACATACTTGGTAACCATATCCACTAACAGTGATATACTAGCAATCAGAATTCATGCAATAATGTGGATGAATGCTACTTCAAACTACTGCAGATGTTTATACTTTATCTTAATGTTGTGCAGCCAATAGCAATGCTTCACAGCTACAGACTGGTCTCATACTTGGAAGCGCTTCTGATTAAGATATCGTTGTCGTTCGTGAAGAGACCGTTTTTCTTGATGTAGTCGATGACTGGATCTGGTATCAGGTACTTGACACTCTGCTGTCGCCTCAAGGCTCGTCTGTTGGGTAAAGGTCATGTCATGTTTATTGTGAATTCTAAATAATCAGTTGTCATTTATCACATTGTTTCTCAATAGAATAATTTGCATGCTGAAATGTTTGAATTCCCACACTAAAACCTCCAGTGTTTAAAGCTACAATTTGAATAGCAGATTCAAATAGAAAATGTAAATTTTATTTGCGTTCAGAGCCAGGTTGATCTGTTGTGAAAATGCTAGTCATATATCATCAGCCTGAACCTAGACATGTCATATCCTGAACTCCAACTCATGTTGATTTTTGTATATAATTATGATTTTAGACTAATTTTGTAATCTTGCTGATTCGACTAGATAAGATTTGGAAAGTTTGCAAAACGCTAGTCATATACAACATATCTGCACAATGTACAAATAAGTTTTAAAATTCTGATTTTTATAAGTTGTGTTTTGTAGGACATGGTTGAAAGATGAGCCAGACCTACCTGATCCTGGTGGAGCTGATCTCATTCTGGATCCACTCAGTCACAATCAGGATGTTGTTCTGGGTTTGGAGAGAAAACAAAAACAAGTAAACAACTGTCCTGTAGCTAGAAAAATATGAAACAGTGATGAAATAAATGATAATCTTAGAATTCAAAGATGACTGACATACTGTACATGTAAGCCGAAATGGATGTATCATATGTACAACAAAACCAATACAGTACAAGACATAAGAGATTTCAGACTTGCGGGAATTATTTGGTCACTTCCAAGTTCACCCCATTCCTGTGCCTGACCTTTTGACATCCTGTCTTTCTGTCTGTTTAATCTCATCCCAAATATGTGCAGTCAACCTACTCCATCAGACAAAGCAATGATTTTGTATCCAGAAGTATTTATCAATCAGTTGTGAACACTCAAAAATGTCCCAAGAATTTCCATTCTATGTTTTTATAGATATGATATCTTGAACTTTCCCTATATATTAATACATAGACTGATGATAACTACACATACCTCATACTCAGACAGCACGTCTGACTCGTACACAAACTTCTGTGGGTTGGTACCAGCTCGGGACACACACACAATCCCAAACTTGCCAACAATTTCTCGGATCTGTTAACAGATGGAAAAGTAGAGCAAAGTATAAGTATAACCATCTTAAAAGGGTTGGGAGATTGAATTGGGCAATGTCTTTTTCACAGATAACTGAAATTGATTTAAGCATCTTAATCCAGGCTAATAGGATCTGTCAAGACAGGTGACATGGTCCAGAGAGGGGTCCATATAACTTAATTGCACAGGACAGGATGTTGGCTGGATACCCTAATGGGAGTACCAGTACATGTATTCATATTGTGGGTTTATAATGGAAATACTGTTTTTACAGAGAGAGATGCCAATGGATGGCATTTCAGCACCTATAAGGTGGTTGTCATAGTATTGTTTTTAATAGCAGATTTGAGTACCAGTAGTACTGTTGTGGTTTTATAATGGAAAAATACTGTTTCTACAGAGAAAAATGCCAAATAAGATGGCATTTTAGAACCTATAAGGTGGTTGTCATAGTATTGTTTTTAATAGCAGATGTGAGTACCAGTAGTACTGTTGTGGTTTTATAATGGAAAAATACTGTTTCTACAGAGAAAAATGCCAAATAAGATGGCATTTTAGCACCTGTGAGCTGGTTGTCATAGTGTTGTTTTTGATAGCAGATGTGAGTGCCAGCAGTAGTGTTGTGGTTTTGTAATGGAAAAATATTGCTTCCAGAGAAATATGCCAATGGATGGCATTTCAGCACCTGTAAGGTGGTTGTTAGTAGCAGATTAAATACCAGTAGTAGTGCTGTGGTTTTATACTGGAAAAGTATTGTTTCTAGAGAGAGATATGCCAACGGATGGCATTTCAGCACCTGTGAGCTGGTTGTCATATAGTATTTTTTTTAACTGCAGATTTAAATACCAGTAGTATTATTATTATTATGTTCGATCGAACGTTGTCCAGTGCACAAGTTTAAATTGGTCGCTCTGACAATGTTATAATTCTTACTCTTTTTTTGAGGTTATCCTGGGTCCTAAGTTTTACTCCAGTCGTTTCTGTTTGATCCGATAATCTTTTTACATCTTTTGGTACCTTTTTTTGTTATCTTGGAGACTTTATTATTGAGAAATTTCCACCGTTCAACTCGTCGATGACCATAGCATCTAAGATGGCGACGACGTCTCCCGACAACGGTACAGTTCGGCACCTGCTTCTACTGACTGCCTCCGCTTCCGCCGACGAAGTGTATGAAGCATACAGTGCCTTCGTTCAAGAGTACACTAAAGAGCAGGAGTATGTAAAGAAGCTGAGTCTCGTCGAAAGGAAAACTTATCAACACAAGATTAGCGGAAAACAGTTTACAGAGGTGAGCGCTGCTTTCTTGTCTTCAATGGAGGACCACCGGAACAAGATCCCTAACTGCAAGATCCCTAACAAGATCTCTAACAGCGTCACTCACAATGTCTGTTCGCTAACTATTCAGATCCCTGAGAACACTCTTTCTTCTTGGAAATCAGTTTGTGCTTCATACTACGGTGTGCAGGGGAAGGATCGAGGAACTAACGGGATGCAGTTCAGCGCCACATTCACTGACTCTGTGCATCAGATTGAAAGAGAGCTTGGTTCGATTCATATTACCGTTTACAACACGTGCAAGATCTTGATTCAAGGTAGTTGTTATGTGTTATGGCTGTGCTCACATTATGACCACCTACAAGACTTGGTTCTGGCAGATGTGGCCGAGAAGCAACCTAACAAGATTGACTCCAGCAAAACAAACCAAGTTACGAAATGCGCCGTCTGTCTTAAGAATGAAAAAGACGGTGACGAGTTCGTTGGCTGCAACGACTGTTTGAGTTGGACACATTTTGAATGTACCGGTTTGAATGAGAAAATGAAATTCAAACTCAAAAATACCGATGAGATGTTCCATTGTATCAACTGCACTATTCCACAGAACACCAAACTTTCGTTAGAACAAAGCCATTCCTCACCTCCGCCGCGCCGCATCAACTGCACCGTTCCACAGAACACTGAACCTCCGTTTGAACAAAGACAATCCTCACCTCCGCCGCGTCGCTTCCAAGAAGACAAAAATGGCAAGCAAAGTACTTCAACAATGAATGTTCAGGGCCGACAACTTGTACAAAACAATGAGAACACTGAAACGCTCAAAACAGCTTTACTAGACCTAGAGGCAAGTCTTGCTCAGTTGAAACTTCAGTCAAATACCTTTGAATCTAAGGTATCAAACCAGCTTGACATTATCTTCAAGCGACTGGATTCATCTTGCTCTCCAGTCAAGCAGGACACGGAGTTTAAGAAACTGAAAGAGGATAACAAAAAACTACAAGAAGAAAACAACACACTCTGCAAACGTGTCAAACATCTGGAGGAACTTGTCTTCTCATTACAAACAGAGTCAGCAAACTTCCAGAGCGATCTAAGTGCTGTGAAATCTAGTCACGGCACTCTAAAAGTGAAAGTTTCTAACATGAAAGAGATCATGCTTGATAATGCTATGGCCAACAACAAACATGAGTCTCCCAAACAATCCACACTGTTGAAGTATGCTGTTGCTACTTCAAATCGGTTTGAGCCTTTGCTAGCAACTCCTTCACTAAACTCTAGTGATGAGGTCGGTTTGGAGACGGACCCCAAAGCTCTGATACGGTCCCTGACAAACGGAAAGAAGACCGACAACCCTCGTCCTCGGAGCTCCAGATCTAACTCTAAGTCAAAGCGACTTGTACTCATCGGGGATTCAAACGCCCAAAAACTAAACCAGACCTACTGAGCCCAACCGCGGACATCCCCAAACCTACCTGGGCACCTACCTCTCCGATACCCTCA